ATGTACTCGTAGTCTTTCTTCACGGTGAACCTTGTTGTTCCTTTCCATTGAAATGGTAGTGCTGCGTTGCCCATGACTGTCCAGTCATCTTTGCGTTGCGAAACTTCTCCAAAGTTGTTGTGAGTGATTGTAGTTCTGTGAGGCTCAAGTGTGCTGATTGGTGGATGTCCTGGTCCATCTGTTGGAGTGAATAGAGTTGTTCTAAGTGTTGTGTGGTGTCTTATCCAATGTTCACCTTGTCTTTCCCAGTAGTCTTGGTTGTCCTCCTGTGCTGTGAGTGGTCTGTGGATTGTCTCCTTTGGTTGTGTGGTGTCAAGATCTGTAGAAGGTGCTGCTTTAGGTCTCCATATCCTTTGTGGTGCTCGTAGTTGGATCTTTGATCTGATAGGTGGTGTGTCCATTAGCCGTTGTGGTTGTGAGCTCTGCCTTGTTGGTGTGGTCTTTGATGTTGCTCTGCGTGTAGGTGCCATCTTCTTCTGAATCTGGTTTCTCCAGTTGTCACCTTCGTTGCAGTTCTTGCTTGGAAAGTTGTGTTGGGTTCTCTTGTAGTTGTTCTTGCTCTTGCCCTTGTCTGTTGATGATGGTTAGTCGCCAATCATCTAGTTCTCCTTCAGGTATTGGGCAACCGCTGTTGTGTGGTGTGAATAATGCTTTGCGTGGTCGTTTGTGTACTCTGATGGCGTAGTCACCATCAAGTTTCAAGTAGTCAGTGTTTCCACCAAGGATCTGTCGTAGTCCTTGGTCTGTGTGAGTGAGTGGTGCAATTTGTTCTTGTTGTTGTACTGTTTTCTCTGTAGGTTGAATCACAGCAATGGATTTTCCATTGTCTGTAGTCATTGGGTAGATGTCGAATCCTGTAGGGATGTCGATCTTCTCTGCTCGTAGGTAGAAAAGTCCTGAGTGTCTTATGAGGTGTGCTTGTTGTTGTCCATGTGTGATGGTGCAGTGTCGTGGAGTGAAGTCAAGTCCATATCCTCTATCAAGTAGTCTTGATGCACTGAGGATTGGATACTTCACATCACAAACGTAGTAGGGTATCATGATCCTGAAGTTGTCCTGCTTGTAGGGAACGTACTTGATGCCGTAGACAGGAATCTTCTTGTTTGTAACCGTGTAGAGTTGTGGAACCGATTCTCCACAAGGTCGTAGCGGTAGGTCTGGTGCGTAGTCCTTCGGACAAACATGTGTAGATGCTCCTGAGGCGATCAACAGGTGGTGGTATGACTTGAAGTTGGAGTACATGATGTAGTGTGTGTGAGTGTCCTCAATCTTCTTGTTCCTTTGTTGTTGTCTTGCTGCTGCTATGCCAAAGTGTGGCTGTGTGTTGTCTTCTTGTAGGAATTGTTGAAAGCTCTTGCTGTGGTCGTCCCATGATGTTGTATGTGTTGTTCTCTTACCAAGTAGTGATTTGGATTTGTGCTTGTGTAGTCGTGAGTTTGCTTGTCTGATGTGTCCAATGGTAAGGTGTGACTCGTTGATGCCTCCAATGTAGTTTGCTGTGTCCTCATAGCTGTTGTCATTCCAATCCCAGCTGTTGTCATAGTCGTAGTCGTTCCAGTTCTCCTCCATGTAGTTCACCTCGTGTTGTCCTTCTTCTCCTTCGTAGTACCAGTCCCAAGTGTCGTTTACATCCTGAGGTAGTTCTTCATGGTTGTCATGATCTGCTTGTTCTTGTTCTAGTGGATGTAGTTCTTCTCCTTCTCCTATGTGCCATACCGGCACTCTGCAGTCTTGTGCCCAGTGGCCAGGCTTGCCACATCGATGGCATGTTGTGTAGTTGTTGCTTCCTTTTCCTTTTGATTTGCTGTAGTTTCCTTGGCCTTTGTAGCCTTTGCTTGATCCATATCCTTTGGATCCTGAGTAGCCTTTTCCTTTGCTCTTGTTGTATCCTCCTTTGTTGTAGTTTCCTTTGCTGCCTTTGTCGAATCCTTTGTAGTGCCCTTTACTCCTGTACTTGCCTTTGCTCTTGCTTCCTTTGTAGCTGCCTTTTCCTTTTCCTTTGCCTTTGTAGTTTCTTCCTTTCCGCCATATGTTGTCAACATCCATTGGTGCAGCTCCTCCATTGTAGTTTGTTCCTACTGCTGAAGTAGATCTAGCGAAGGCTGAAATCGTCTTGTAGTAGTCCAAGATGATTGATCTCGATGTAGTTCGTGATCTGTCCAGCTCGCAGTTGGAGGTGTTGCTGCAGTGCTCCTTTGGTTTTGTTGAGTAGTATTGCTATTTTGATTCCATCTGGTAGTGCTGTTCCATTGTCTTTCTCGTAGCGGTTGATGTCGTATTCCCATTGTGGAAATTGTTCTTCAAACTGCGCTTCGTTGAGTGTAGGTTCCAGTAGTTTGGTAAGGTAACCAACGCTCCTTGTTCCTACTGGTAGGCTGAACCTGTTGTGTAGTAGTCGTAGTGTTTCACATCCGTTTGCGTTGTAGCGGTTTTGCCTTACTACTGTAGCTGCTGCTCCCTGACAGATGTTGATGAGGATGTAGTGTAGATCTCGTGAGAGGTCTACTGCTTTTGTTGCTTGTGTAGGGTCGCGTATGTGGGCTTTTATGTCTGTGTCCTCAATCTGTCGTGTAGCCACTTGTGCTAGTTGTAGCGCCAGGTCGAAGTCTCGGTCTATGAGGCCGAGGTATGCTTGTAGCTTGAACAGCCATTCTTCATACTGGGAGTAGTCACCAGTGAAGAAGGGTGGTGGCAGTTTGTATCTATGTAGTTTCTGAACGTCGTTGTCTTGTTCTGTTCCTGCTCCCGTAGTTGTGGCTCCTACTGTGTCTGCTGTTGGCCCGTTCTCTACTCCTGTAGTTTGTTGTGCTGAGGCTGATGCTGCTTCTCCTGACATGTCGTAGTAGTTTGGCATGTGACTGCTGTTGCTGTGGTTGTAGTACTTACTGTTACTGGAGCTCCCCTATGTTTAGGATCTCAGCTCCGCTACCACGTTAAAATCGGTGGTTACTTTGCTTACAAGTGCAAGTGCTGTATTGTTCAAACAAACAGTCAACCGATTGTAGTCTGCAGCAATCCACCTTTTACACATGCGATGTAGTGAGCTCAAGGCCTGCAGTCACATGCAACACAAATGCAGGAAGTGAAGCATGTAGTTTGACAATGCATAGGTCTTCGAAAACGCCTTAACAGGTACCCTCAGAGCTTATCTGGGAGCATCTCCAGATTCTGCAGAAATGTGGTGGTTGGGTCCTTGCTCCGCGCGGTGCAGCCACAGCTCTTGTGTAACCACTTCTGCATCGGTCTTCTACTTGCTTCCAAATGCCTGCAAAACCGTTCCTGCTCGTCTTCTATGCGCCTGGGGAAGATCGAGCCGCCGCGCTCAAAGCAAGACTTCTGACGTTGTGGCTGCGTTTCTGTTGCGCGAGGTTTTGCAGTTTGTGCGGACGGCTTGTTCATGCATTACGAGGTTTGGATGCCGGGCAACCAAATTGCCAGATCATTTTTGTTATGTTTCAATTCTCAGTGCAAGTTCAAACAAATTTGCAAAGCGCTTGCACATTTTTGCTTTTGCGGTACGGGTGCGAATGTAAATCTGGATTTCGTGCAGGTGCAAGTGCAAGAAACGTACGCGGAAGCACTCGCAAAACTTTTGTTGCAGGTGCAAGTGCAAAGCTTGCCACTTTTGCTGTGTAGGTGCCCAATGCAAATAGGCTTCAAGTCACGGGAAGCTTCAAAGAAGCGCAACGCAAGACGTGCAAACATTTGCGTCTGCGGAACATGAGCGAAATTGCTGTGTAGGTGCAAATGCAGAAGCTTGCGAAGTTTTTGCGGTCTGTGACAGTGCAATGTGGGCTTATGGTGGCTTTTAGTGCCTTGGTGTATTGCTAGTGTTCTTAGTGCCCCAGATGTTCTGGGCCCAAACAGGCTCGTGCCGGGTGCCCTCAGTGCCCAAGTGCCCTTCCAGGTCGTTGGTTTCCTCTTGGCACCTTGCTAGGTCGCGCGGAGCCATCCACACAAGATGTGCGCTCAGAACGGCACATGTTTCCCGTTGATGTAGTTGCACCCTCCTCACGCTTTTCGCGCATGCTTCTCTTCCCTCCAAACACAGGGGTTCTCCGACAATCAAAGCGCAAGGTGGGTACCAGTCAACGGGCTTGGGTACTTGTGTTTTTCTGGTACTTGAAATCTACGGGCCTTTGCCACGAGTATAGGGACAAGGGAAACCAATTGGAGTTGGAGTCCAGCGCAATTCGGTGCTGTCCCGAAAGGCACCGAGACGCTTCGGGACCGCTCGCGGCAAGTTTCTTCACGTGCGTGGCCGAAGGTTACTGCGAAATTTCCTGGGACAAAACGCGCGGCGGACTTTGCTTGGTTGAAGGTGTCGGTCCACTTACCTGAAAAACACAACCCTAGAAGAATGCCACATGGTAGAAATTGTGTGACGGCTACGCCGCAAGGGGTCGGCATTTGGGGCTTCTCAATAAGAATTTGAACCCCTAAGACATTGAAATTGCCTTCACAGTTTTTCTCTTAAAGTAACCTAAACGTCCCAAGTGTTTTTGGGGCTCTCGAACATGGGCCTGGTTTTCAAGGCCCCAAATGAGGGGTCGGGGTTCTCCAACCTCTTATGGGGCCCACATTGGACTTTCAGAAGACTCGGTTCAATGGGTCAACGAGCAAAGCGTAGACCCCAGGTGACCAGGTGTAGGGTGTGTATTCAGAAAACTTGACCTTTGAATGGAAACCCGGTTGAGTCAGTTTGCTCTTCTTTGTTTGCCCGCTGACCGGAAACCACTCCACCTTTGTCAGGGTCTGAGATCAACCCCATCGAGACCCTGATCTGCTTAGGGGAACACCCGAACTGTGGCAAATCAGCGCCAACCTGGTCCAAGTGCCTCAGTAGGAAGAATGACAAGCACAAATAATAACCCCTGTAGGCAACTTTTGGCAGCCCCCCCAAAAGAATCACAGGCACAGGGAGAGCTCTTTGAGTTGGCCCACCTCTTCGGTGCAAATCTCAACCTTTCCCACGGATGGAGCACCCGAACAACGGCCAGGTGGAGAGGGGGGAAGTACCCAAGCGGATCCACGAGCTGGCTGGGAGCCCATTTGCGGGGTTTTGGATGGGAAACAGCGAGGGAAGAAACTGCGGGCTTTAGGTGGTTGTAGAAATGTAGGTTTGAGCCACGGGTTTAGATGATCATAGAGGAACGATGTTAACATGGCCCTAGTCCAGCGCCAGGTTCTCAGCATTTGCTTTTGGGTGTTTCTTGAACAGCGTTTCCTTTGTTTGGCTGGGCCCGAGCCACACACCTCATGGACCTGCAAGGGCGTTTGGCGGGGGGGGGGGGGTTAAAGGGCCCATGTTCAGAGGAAGGCCGCGACGAAGTCACAGGGATGGTCCGCCTTGGTCATCCGGATTTCGGGTTGCACGGTCCAGCTTCTGAGGGCGACGAGAAGCTTGCGGAGCTGCTTTTGCGGTACCAGGCCTGCAGCAGTGAAGCGGGTACGGGTTCCAACGGGTTCCACGGCTTGGCCCAAGTCGGATGTCAGCCCATGGCTCACTCCCGGAGTTCCTGGTTTGGTACTTCTGGTGTTTGGGGCATTTAGCAAAAAACAAACTTGCATGGGCTTTGGGCAACCCACTCAGGAACTGAGATGATTATGGTTGCCATTTCCAGTTGGTTCTGTTCTGTTCATGATTGGTGGGGGGAGGCGCAAAGAACAAGGCATTAATTCCTTTTTCCTTCCTTCCTTCCTTCCTTTCTTCCTTCCTTCCTTCCTTCCTTCCTTCCTTCCTTCCTTCCTTCCTTCCTTCCTTCCTTCCTTCCTGCTTTCCTTCTTCCTTCCTTCTTCCTTCCTTCCTGCTTTCCTTCTTCCTTCCTTCTTCCTTCCTCCTGCTTTCCTTCTTCCTTCCTTCTTCCTTCCTTCTTTCTTGCTTTCTGTTTTCCTTTCTTTCTGTCTCTCTTTCTGTCTCTTTATCTGCCTCCTCTTTCCGTGTCTTTTTTATGTGGCCTTTGAACATGACGGAGGTTCTTCCAGGATTCCTAGGCGGACCCGAACCAAAGATGGCACGTATAAATAGGAAACTGGCAGGATCCGTGCTATTGGATGGTTGAAGCATCGGGGCTGCTGCCTTCTCGCATGCCCCGGCTTAAGTGGTTAAGCTGCTCGCAAGCAAGCTTAAGTTGCGGCAGTCGATTGGGATAGGACAACTTGCATGGAAGCTTGTGATTTTGGCCGGCCCCTGTCTGGAGCATAGTGACAGTCCGTGCTGTTTTAAACAGGGGACAATCACATTGGTCCACATCCGGTTTGGGGACGACCCAACCTAGCTGGGGCAGAACCCATCAGAGCCGTCTGATTCGGTCGGCCTTGCCTCACATTGCGGGCGTGTAGGACATGTGCAAATGCAGGGAACATGTTTTGTCCATGTCTCCTTTTGGGCCATTCACAATTTGGTTTGCGGATCTTGGGTCATTCACATGTTTTTTCTTTTCGCAACCCACACGCGCATGCGCCACAACTCACGATTTGTGTGGGGCCGTGTCCGAAGAGGAAAACATCACCATGGCCAATCGTTTGAGGGGCCAAGCTGGTTTTTCGAAGGATTGATATCTTGTCTTCACCCATCCTATCATCTCTCCGCAGGCAATGAGTTTTGTGCGCATGGAGTGGCTTGTGCGCAATGAGTGGTTTGTACTCCCCTTGTAACCCGAAGTTTTCTCGCTCTGCGCTTCTTAAGCCCCCCTGAAAACCCTTGTAACCCCTGTTACACCCTTCAACCCACTTCAACCCCTACCCCTTAACCTTTGTACCCCCCCCCCCTGTCATACCCGCTCAACCCCCTTCAATCCCTACCCTCCCCCCTTAACCCTTGTATCCCCTTCAATTCCCTTCAACCCCCATGATCCCCATCCCCATCACCCCTATCACCCCATCATCCCCACCACCCATCACCCCCATCACCCCCATGATCCCCATGATCCCCATCAAACCCATCAAACCCTGCCGCATAGCCCCGATTCACCTCGAAACTCGTGCCCTGACCCCCGAGGAGGCAGTGGAGCGCCCGCTGCAGGCCTTCTCCCAGCACCTGAAGCCCGCGCTCGCGCGACGGGCGCGGGCTCCGCTTCGTCTGGGCGGAGGGTTGGTTGGGGTGGGCGGATGGCTTTTGTCTTTTGGGGGGGTCCAGCCCCTGGCTTTTTGGAAACGAATCGAAGCTAAGAGCTAATACCTCAGCCCCTCTTGTGCCCTTTGATTCTTGGCGGTTGAGGGGGTTGTGCAGGCCAACCTGGTCTGGGTTTGGTAATGCAGGAAGCGAGGGACAGGGATAGCAAACAGAGCAATGAAACGAGCAATCAAACAAGCAAAGACCACAAAACGTCCTGAGTTTAGTTTGATTCTGTCTGTCGGTTTCTCTGGGCTTAGGCATCCATGAGAGGTGCCCGGCTAGCCTGAGGTAAGCTTTCTCCGAGCGAGCTCTCCTGTTTTGAGCCGGGCCCCGAGGCTCTTCCTTCGTTCCGGTTGGACTTTCCTAAGAGACCTAAGCCAAATGAGGGGTCTGCAATCAAGAGCCGAGCGGGCTTTGCGACCTCATGAAGGTTGGGGGTCCTGGTCCTCGTGGTGGCCAAGTTTGCAGCCCGTGTGTTATTGAGCTGTTTGGTCGTCCAGGCAAGTTAGCTCCATGTTAACTGTCAAAAGGAGGCTCAGCTCAGTTCGGCCAGCCCAAGAGAATAGCCACCTATAGGTTCCGACCCACGAACGACTTGTGGTTGAGTCCTTTTAGCGGGACTTAGTTAGTGGTCACAGCCTCTTGCCACTGAAGACGCTGACGCTTCCGCGTCGGGTGCTGCGGGCAGCCCGGGGCGCTCTGCAGCTCTGACATGGCGGCTGGCTCACGCACCTGACAAGGGCCAGCCCTTGATCTTCAGCAGCCAGCCTTGTTTTTGTGTAGAGTAGTTGCTTTGTTGAGGCAACATTCCACCTGAAATTGCTTCAAGTCAAGGTAGGAGGGATTGCTGCAATCTGCAAACGTCCAGTTTGGTCATCAAATAGCGCGCACCACTTCTCGATGCTTTGTTGTCACTGGACCTTTTTGTGCAGCGATTTCTTGCAACCTGGAACCAAAACCAATTGGGTATCGCAGAAAGGCTTGTTTTCCAACACCGTAGAGGGGGGGATCCCTGTTCATGTGTTTCAATACACCCCAAAGTTGCTTGTCAGCTTGGATTCTTTGGAAACTAGGGGGGGATTTCCTATTTGTTGGGGCGCAAGGCCCGCTGAACTCGGCGCTCCGCGCCAGCTCAACCCCAGGGGCATCGAACATCCAAAAAGAGACAATCTAAAGAGGACCACCTTTGCTTCTCAACGCGGGATTTCCGCTTGCCCCGCACGAAGGTCTTCGCCCCGAGGACATGGTTTTGGTTTCCCTGTCTGTAGTGGGCTACATAGGGGTTGGAACTCATATGTATCCTATTTGGGGCATTTGTTGCTCCTGCAAGGTGCCCTGGTTCTCAGAAGTGCAAAATGGGGAGGGGGGGGGTTGGATCCTGCCTTTGTGCCAGATCCATGTGGGGACCATGGACTACATGGGCGGATCCCACGAATCCTACCGCCGCACGTGGGAAGGCCAAGTTGGTGGGGATAACCCAACAAACCCACCAGAGAGACGGCCCCAACTTTCCCGGGTCGAGGCAAATTCGATCGGGTTCCAATGAGATGATGTTCTCTTGTCGTTCACGTAAGAACAATCTTAATTGGGTGTTTGGACCAATCCTGGAGGCTAGCACGAGACACCCCCCGACCCAAAAGAACATTGGGAAAGACCAGCATTCGACCGGGCCTGGAGTGGGGCTTTCTCCCCCAAATGCAGCTTTCTCTGCATGGAAAGACTAGTCACTATATGTTGGGTTCATGTAATGTTGATGTGACGGCAGTTTCGATCGAGTCAAGATAGACGGAAGAGCACGTACAGGTCGGAAGCGACACGACTGGGAAGAATCCCAGTCTTCATTGCTCTTTAGTAGGGTATTCTGTGTAGTTTCAGCTTTGCCACTGTACAATGTGAGTTCTCTTTCCTTCGAGCGCACTTTATGTGGGTTTTGCGACTTTTCCGAGTTTCTGCACAGGGGATTTTGCTTGGCACCCCATTTCCAGTGGGCTTGTCTCTTGACTCAGGCCGTTTACCACAAAGGGGTTGGTTGATCAGGCCCCAAAATAGCCATGGGTAACTTTTCCCATTTCGTGGTGAAAGTCATCTTTTTGGTGTCCGCAATGATCACCCCATGTGAAGGACCTTTGGATCAACCCCCTACCCAGATGTTCATTTGGTCTTCGGTGAAGATGCCCTTGGAGCGCGGCCAAGGTTCGAGTTCATAGAAATGACCAACACCTGGTTCGACTTGGACTCGCCCACCCGGGCCACTCGGCGTGCAGACGTGCACTGGCCAGTCGGATCTACGGCAAGGGCTCCTCGTTTGACAGCGACTTGTTTTGATTCACTGCCCTGAAGTGGGCACCTATTGGTGCTTGGGCGCCCATGCGGTTCATGTGAGGGGGACCCATAATTCCCGCCAAAAGCGTCCCCGATGTTCCCACACCTCCTGGAATCAACAAAGTTGTCCTTGGGTCATATCAAAGATGTTTGTCCCCACTTGACCAGACGTGCACCAAAACAAACAGCGGTCCTTACCAAAACTGGAAACATGATAGGGACGACGATCCAATTTGTTTCCCCAGCCCGTTGTTCGGACCCTTTCGGTTTCCGTGCTCAGGAGATTAGCTCTCTCTACAGGCGCGAAGCGTTTCCAGAGGTCGGCCCATCTTAATAAAGGAATGCAGTGGAACGCGCGAATACCTGGGGTTAAAAAGGAGCGATTAGCTCGCGAGGAATCTTGAACCGTCCCTTACTTTACAACTCTTGTTGCAGAGTTGTCAGTCAGACTTTTCTGAGAAGCATGATGCGTGGACATTTCTCCAGGCGAGTGATGAGGGATATCCATTGCGACACTTTGCACTACCGGCTTTGAAGAGGGTCGGCATTGGGAATTTCGCTTTTTAATTTGGGTGCTTACGGCATTTGTTTTAGGGGCACCCCATGGATTCCAGAAGCCGTAGGCCGAAGGTTTGTGATGGGGCCATGTAGGGTATGGACCAGAATCAAACAGCTCTTTCAGCCTTCCTTTGGTTACATCTTGTTTTTTGTCAAACAACCCGCTTGGCTAGCGTGGCCTTCGGGGCCAGGTCAATGTTGAGGGAAGGTTCTGACCCTGCATCGGAATGATCTGGGCGAATGTGGACGTACAAAGAGTAAGGCCAGAAAGAGCATCACAAGGTACAGTGTGGGGGCGAACTTCAGCCAGGAATCGGACCGCAGGTTTTAGTTCTTCGGCCTATTTACCAGGGCTATTTTTGATCCACAGCCACAGCCACCAAACTCGAAGGATGAACTGCGGTAAGTTGCCGGGTTCCCTGATTCCCCTTGCAATATTTCGGGCAACAGGGAACAGGGATTCTCCGTTGTTGTTTTTTTGCCTGTTTTGCAAGTAAGGTAGGCGAGTTGCTGATCCATTCCATGTGTGACTTGGCTTTGGGCACTGGATCTCTCAGAATGAGTCCATCCGAAAGTTCCTTCCAGACCCCTTTTCTTTGGTAGGGGGCCCTTCCGCGGGTTTTTCCCGAAAAGACCCGAGAAGCTTTCGGACCTCCGGAAACTCGCCTGGCGCTTTGGGGCTCCGAAGCGGCTTTTTTCGGGTATAAGGGTCCCTTTCTCGCCCGTTTTGCGGGCGCTTTTTTTTTTTGTTCAACCCTGCTTTCTCAGATATTCCTTTCCCAGAAGACTGCGATGGACGGCTCCCTAGCAGGCCGTCGTAGTGGTTTGCCAGCCCTGCCGTACTCCGTGCAAGTTTTGCTCTACCCTGTTTGATGGGCACATACTCCCAACCAGGGTTCCAGTTTTTGCTTACCGCCTTTTGGTAACCAAAATTCCGGAACCCAGGTCTGAAGGTTTTCAGAAGTGTCTGGAGGGAGGACCCAAGTGGTTTGGTTCGGCCTGCAGGGACAAGCTGAGTTGCTCCTACAAGCCTCCGGCCGTGTACCAGGCTGGTTTGAGGGACGTGAACACTTGACGGCTCTCGTGCCGGATATGTTTTTTGTGTTTGCCTTTTCGGCTTTGTTCTTTGTGTTAGTGGCTGCAAAGCGCTCTGTTGTTTTGTTAGCGGCTGCAAGGAGCAAAGTGCGTTCGCTGCAATGTCCTGGGCTGGGAAGCCTCGCCAGGTTTCGTCATGTCAGGCAAATTGCACTTCCTCGGATGAGAGCTGACGGGTGAGGACCAATTTTGCGTTCAGCGGACAAGGTGACTCTTCAGTGTCAGCCGGCTTCCATGGTGCTCCAGGTTTCCTCGGCGGACAGACGTTCAAGCCACACAGTTGAGTTCCAGCAGGGGTTGATTTCGGTTTTTCAATCATCCTTTTCGAGCCCAAGCCGGCTTGGGCTGGTCGACTAATCAGAAGTTTGGCAGATTCCAGGAATTGGGTGCGTTCACCAGGGCCGTGCCTTCTGCAATAGCAACAGTTTGGGCGCAGTCAACTAGGAATCGTGCAGTATTCCGGACCAAAAGCCCAAAGCCTTCCCAAATTGGTCGGTGCAATTTGCCCCCCGATTTCTCGAGAGAGATCTCGAGGCACTGGCGGAGAGGGCCGTGGACAAGCGCGACTCCTTCCGAATGGTGGTGAAGGCCCTGCGACTTCGAGACCTGGCATCCGTTTTGTACCAATGCTTCTTTGGGATTCGGAGTGTCAAATCCTTTATGGAAGCTTTCTCACCAAACATCATGTGATGGGTAAAGGCCGCTCCATATGCAAAGGGAATCCTACCTGAACAGGGGGGGGGGGGGCTGAATGTCTTGAGTTGTGCGAAATCGCGTGGCTTTTTGTGGGCGGTCACCGGAGTGGCAGATGAAGGACAGGCAGAGCGGATATCCGCCTCATTGAATTCTTGATGGCATGGATTTTGGGTCTTATTAAGTCCTAGGTTTTGATTGCTCCCCTTTGAAGTTTCCTCAAGCCAAGCCTTCCGGTCGAAAGCGTGCCATTTAGGGTTCTCGCCCTTTGGTTTTTACCAAGGCCATGAATTGATATGTTGCAAGGATTTTGTTTTTCCTGACGGGTTTCCTTCGGATGTACCGTTGGTATGGTTTTCGAACGTGCTCTTTGCTTGTAAAGGCCGTTCCCGTGACAAATCATAACGAGCTCCCTCAGGGGTATGAGGGATTCCGTGAAGGTCTCTTGAGGGGTCAGCCAAGGTTGGTGAACTACAGTAGTTCGTGCAGATTCTTGTGGCCTCTCTGGCACCTGACAGAGGGTCCTTTGAGGAATGTTTGTGTATGTGTATGAGTGTAAAGGTGTGTATATATGTATATATGCTTTGCACATCTGCAGACGTCTTTACGTCTATGTCTACATGTCTATATATCGATAGGCCCATATTTCAAAATGTGTGTATGTGTGCATGTGTATATGTGTGTGACTTTGGGGTCCTGGATTCCCATTGCGGACCTGCAACGCAAGCGGCCTCCCCGTTGTCCGAAGGTGAGTTGCGTGGCCACGCATATCCTGAAGCTGCAGAACGTCACGGCGGGGGGGTGGACAGAATGGAGAGGGGTGTTTCAAATAGGAGTTCATTCATGGATGTGAGTGATGATTGGTTGCGTCATGCCCAGACACCCCCCTTCTGTTGGGGAAGAGAATGGAACATGTGGGTGTCTAAATGTCCAATGTAGGTTTCCTCGCCACATCTCCGGAATCACCCCGTGGGGATCGGTCCATTTAAGCGGTGTTTCTCGCATGCAGACCCTTCCCCTGAAGAAAAAGGAAAGAAACGGGGGCCAACAAGTGCACTCTTCCTTCCGACTGCTGAACGCTTTGGTGTCTTTGCCCAACTACTCGCTCCTTCAGTTCCTGACCATTTTATTGACGAGCATGAAGTTTTGGGACGTTGGCCACTTCGGAAGTGAGCGGGTGGTTCGGAGGTTTCTCCAAGTTCCGGGGAGGGGGCCGGCAAGGACTGGTGGCCGAAGCTCTGGCAGGCGCGATATTGGGATCAGAGCTCGGGTTGGCTCGGTGAGGAAATGTCGGGGGTGGTTTGGGATGGAAACAGATTCACAAAGGGGAAGGAAATAGGTGGCAGAAGGGGTAGGACAATTCTTTGGCCGTTGGACATTGGATGCAGCAAAGGGGCAGTGGTTGAATTAGTTGGCTGTGCAGGTGGTGTATAATTTGTCTGTGTACCGCAAGGGTTTCGACTGTGTTTTTGATATGGGGGTCCTTGGAGGTTGTGTTAAGGAGCCAACTATGAGGCCGGTTAAAGGGTTCTCCATTGGAGGGGCCCTTCTACGTGTGATTGGGTTTCGGGGTCACGAAGCCAAGTGGTTTGGGCATGGTTTGGGGAGAATGGCTTAGGAATTCTGGTCTGGAGATGGTTTGGGCAGTGGTCTATACATAGGGAAAGGTCAGCGTGCTCCTCGGCATGGCTGGTTATCTTTACAGGTGATTGATGATTTGCTGGCGGGTGAAGACCAGACCGCCTCAGTTGAGTCAATGCGTGTGTGTGTGTGTGTGTGAGAGTGTGTGAGTGTGTGTGTGTGCGCGCCCACCGAACCGTTCCCTCGGTCTACTAAACAACAAAATGGAGTTCTTCACCAGGAAGTCTTTCACAATGGGGTCCAGGCAACTTGAGTTTGCTTCTTCGGGGAGTTCTCTCCATGTACAAAGGCTTTTTTGATGTTTATAAAGATTCCTGACTTGACGACCCCTCCAAACATGGTGATGCAACCATTTGGTTTGGGTGCCATTTGGGTGACCGGCTGTCGACAATCTCCCCTAGGATGGCAGAGCCTATAGGAATGAAGGCAAAACGTCGGTATTTCAATTCTTGACAGTGTGCTCCCTTCCTTTCAGTCAGTTGTACACTCCAAGAATAAGGTTCGTAAACAACTCTTGTTCTGACTTGCTGGAATTCCTTTCTCCTTTCTTCCAACCTGCAGAACATAAGCTTTTGCTTTCCAACCCACCATCCAAACCCACCCTAAACCCACCCTCAACAAGCCCCAACACAAACCCAAATCCCACCCACACAAGACCCTAAACAAACCCACCGGCCCTATCCCTATATCCGCCCTAAACCAGCCCGAAACCAATCCGAAGCTCACCGACCAACCCTAAACCGAGGCTATACCCAGCCTGAACCCAAACCTCAACCCACAACAGAAGAGGGCAAATAGGCAAGTGCCACCCCACCCCCACCCATCCCTTCAGGAGAAGTACTGCCACCTGTCGGCGGCCACCGTGGCCTTCCTTTGGCAGCAGGGGCCTCCAAGTTTCCAGTCCCATACTATGGAGGAAGCTGAGTCCAAAAGAAAAAGATACCCAGCGATTGGGCCCAAAGGTCCTTTACCTGAATGCTTGATGGTTTTCTCGGATCTCCTTCCACTCGGGGGGGGAGTCCTTGACCCGGCGCCAACTGAAGGCTGGGGTTGGGCAAGACGGGGGTTTTCGCCCACCACCTCTTTCTCAGGTGCCCAAATGGGGTTGAAAGAATATGTGTTTACACTCGCAGGCGCCAGAGTGTCGTAGTGTCGAGCCCTGATTCACTCCGAGTCCTTGAAGTTGCACCCCTCACAGTTTTGGTGTTGGGAAGAGAAGTTGTTTCCCGCTTAGGACGCGCGCGTAAGGGTGTTCCCTTTTTGGTGGGATGTGTGATTCCACCTCGGCACGCCAGGCGCAAGCAACAAGGGGCGCCACACCAGGTGGGTTGAAGGGATCTGTGGAAATACGGGGCCCAGTAAGGAGAAACAGGTTCCATCATCATCATCATCATCATCATCATCATCATCATCATCATCATCATCATCATCCCACTAAGTGGCCCCAACTCACTCTGAGTGGGAAGCCGGCCACATGCTCGCAGTGACTTCGTGTTGGTCTCACGCTTTCGTCGATTCAGGACCAACGTTTACCGGGTCCTGCTATTTTTTGTTGTGTGCTTGTTTCGTTTCAGCTGTTGCTGGAATGTTCAGATGGCTTTTGACACTCAACTAGAATGCAGTTGATATTCAAAGGGAAATGAAAGGAAGAACCCTGTTTTGGGGGGGCTCCCATGTTGCGTGGGTATGCAAAACAACCAACTGACGTTCCAAGTCCGGTGGGCCGCGAAGATTTGGGGTGCCTTTTTGTTGGTGTTTTTTGGTCAAGATAATCCCCTCAAAAAAAGCACACCCCTCTGGAGGTCTCAAAGGTCTAGGCGAACTCACCTTACACCCTTAGGATTTCAACGGCATCTTTCAAAGACGCAGCCAACAGACTGGGATTTCGCGGTTAATCTGCAGCCAAAAGCTGCGCTAAGTGAAGGCCGCAGGATCTAGGCGGTGGGGGCTCGCTTCGAGCAGGGGCGGCCGAGGCGAATGTACGGAGGACAAGAATTGGTTATGGGGGAGCTAAACCAATTCCTGATACCCAAAAGCCAATCGGGTTTATGGGTCAACTTGATACCCTCAACTCATAAAAGCCAAGGCTTTTTCCCTGATACCCAAGTTGAGTCAACCAAAAGCGCAGACCCACCAGGCCCTTGTACCGCCGTAGCACCACGCCCTCGAGCTCGAGGTTCCCCCCCAGCTTCGTGTACAGCGACGAGCTGGTGCGGCGGCGCCGGCCTTGGTGCCGAGTCCACTACGACCAACTGAAAAAAAACATAAATGAAAACAAATGAGCATAAATTAACACACATGAACTAAGATAAACAAAAGAGTAAGTAAATTCGTGTGAAATTGTAGAAAGCTGTTCTTGCCTTCAGGGTAGTTGGTGAGTGGTGGAAGCACTCAGTCAGATTCGGCCCACGATGTTGGCTCTCTTTCTCCAGTTGGTCAGTTCTTGTTTGGACTCTCGTGCCCCGAAAAAGACTTCAGGCGGAAAAAGCAGCTTCGGCCAACAGGGGCTTGGGTGGTCGAGCCCACTTCCATGCCGTGCGGTTTAGCGGTCTCCTTTCGAGACATGGACGCCAACAATGGCTGTGCCAACCTTCACCAAGCCATGCTGGGAGTGCATTGTCCCGAGTCTCTGTGGCTTAATGCTTCCTTTCCCGCTGCATCAACATGTCTAGGCCTAGGTTTTGTTCGCACCTGTATGTTTTGCTCTGGGCGTCTGCTACCATTTGGGGGCCTCAGCTTTGAGAGCGGCACATTTAGAAAGCAAACGGGGGAGACGAGTACCTGAGGTTGGGGCTGAAGAAATTGTGGTCCATTGATTTGGGGACAAAGGGGAGCTGAACTGGTTTGTTTTGGTTTGGGAGCGACCGATTTTGGTTTGCCCCGGGTATGGAATTCTTTTGGGGATGCCTTGTTGGTGACCTATTCTTCGCCCAGGATGGCCCCAACATGGCCACGGGTCCAGTGAACGACCCGTTGACTGCACCATTTAATGAACATCTGGCGCAATTAAATTGCGACCCTTGCTTGGTCCGGCGACGCAATTTGTCGCATGTGTCTTGATTCCCAAGATAATCAGATAGGTCCCCCCCGAAGAGGCCAGAAGGCTTGCTTCCTGGTTGATGCAATTGAAGAAGTGACGAAGTCAGGGCGGTTGTCACAACCCTGAATGTGCGTTCTTCCCTTGTACGGTGGATCAAATCCAACATCAGGTGAAATGGGGCAGGGGTCGCTCTATTTCCCTTTCCTGTGCAAACATCATCTTTTTTCCTGCATGTGTTGGTTCATTTGGGGAGGAATGGGGCGGACAGAACCTCAATCCTTGCTGACCCCCATGGCTCCTTTGGGTGCTTCCAGAAACATTGCTTGGACCCTTGTAAATGGTTCGTCTTTCGCCTTCCCCTTGAACACCATTGAGTAAGTCATTTGGGGTTGTCTCCACATGGGGAATTCCCAACAATGGTTGTTTCCCTCTGCTTCCTCTTTGAAGCAACCTGGGAAGGGGTACCCTCAAACAGAAACACACCCACCACCCACTCATCCGGCCGAATCCCCCCCTCCAGTTGGTACTTCCGTCCAGGTTTGAGCGGCTCATCGAGTACCTGAACTCCCCTGCCAGTGGCGTGCAAGAGGTGGGACCTTTCGAGTCATGAGTCTTTGCCGGGGTTCGTTTATACATTTCCCCCTCTTTCCCCTGGGTTGGTAAAAGGCAAAGAAACATATTATAAACAGGGACCCCTCGTGAAATTGCAACAGTGGGCCTACTTGTCTCTTTGAAGTAGGCCCACCAACTCGACCCCTTCGAACAAAGGCTCCGCCCTTCGTTTTGCTTTCCCTTCCGAGGTTAGCATTCTTCAACAGTCCCGGCCTGGTTGTGCAGGCTTGCCCGTGAGCAAACAGATGATCAAAGCTCGAAATTCGCCGGTTGCTTCTTGTTGCAGCATCTTGTTGCAGCATCTTGTTGTGGTTCGGGGTTGTGAAACCACGCTGTAGCTTGCCTGTAGCCACTCTTGCAAGTATGGGTGTACCTCCAAAAAACGCATGTAAATACGGGTTTGCCTAAAAACAACTCTTGTGACTATGGCTTCACTTGCAAAAAGTCTTCTTAATATGGGTTTGGCTCCAAAACAACTCTTGGTAAAATGGATATTGCCTACACAACCCAAACGGGTTGTGGCTTCCCCTGGCAGTTTCTCCGCATCGATGGCATGGATCGCATTCGACCCTCGAGCCCTCGATCCAGGCGCGGCACATTGTGGACTTCCGCGATGGCTCGTGGTACCGGGAGGATGTCTACGACTTCTTGAGGCGCTGGGGGTGGGAGGGTTGGGGAGGGTTGGTTGGTCAATTTGTGTTGAACTGTTTTACTCCAATGGGGGAGCTGCTGGTTCGCCACTGAAAAGGAGATCCTTTACATTTGTGGGATGCAGGGTTAGTTGATCAGGGCTCGACGTTGCACCGAGGTCCGCTTAGGTGAAGAAGCAAAGCAGCGTGTGCCAAAACCGCTGTTCGAGCCATGGTTTAAACAAGGGGTTGGCCCGAGGACCCCGCAAAATTGGGCTGGTCCAAGCCTTGGCCGAACCCTGGGAGGGCTTGGGGGGTTCAACACGTGGGGTTTTGACTTCTTCTCTTTCTTTGTAGGGAGAATCTCTCATTTTTCATTTCCAGTGTAGCAAGTTCTCGAGGAGCCGCAGGAGCCGCAAAATTGTTCTTTTTTCAAGACCCCTGTTCTACATCGAGCTTGGTGAGAATGAACAAGCTTTTGAGGAGGCGCGTCATGGACTTTTCGCCGCTTTCCTTTACTGCCGGCTCCCTCAAAGCAACTCGAGGGGTGAGGAACACAACTTGAAAGGGTAGATGGTCGACCTCCATGACCCTGAAAGCGATTGCATCATTTTTCCGGGCAAGGGGGATTACGACTGCTTTGGTAGAGTCGCTTGTTTCACTCCGGCTGACGCTATTTCAGAGGTACGACTTCTTTTTTTGGAGGGATCAAGCATGGCAGTTTCATGTTGCGGCTCCGGCTCGGGGATTCAACTCAAATGGCGCATTTCTGGATGGGACCTGTATTGACCTTTGGTAGGGGACCCGCAACTGGTTAGTTTCCCTTTGGAAACCATAGAGAGAAAGGGGGGTTCTCCTATTTATGAGGTTCGGCGAGAATGTCCAGTCAGTACTTGCGAATAGAAGCAAATATTGATACCGGCTCACATGAGCAATCCTTTCGCGATCGATTTAGTCCTAGAACATGGTTTGGATTCAGCTTTAGTGGATGCACCCTGGATATCAAGAGTAGCGAAAAACGGACAACAACGGGGAGAAGTTAGAACAGCCGGCATCCAGAAGCGCAAAACCGCTTAGATTAACTCACTTCTCCATGCCGAATCGACCTGTTGACCAATTTCGTTTCCCCGTTTGGTCCATTTTTTAGTCATCGCCCCAAAAGGTTAACCTTCATTTTTGGGTCCTTTGGGGAACTGAGTTGATGTTCACAATGATGCTGGTAGCTTGGAGAGCGTCGGTTCAAAGGACCTATTGCAGCTTGGAAGGTAGCCATATGAGACGCAGCCAAAATGGCCCAAAGTTGATCCTCTTTTGGCGGAGCCATTTGATTTAAACCACCGCGTTCCTCCTCCAAACACAGCCCTCTTTTGGATGCCGAAAGGGCTGCGGACGCAGCGTCGTCAACGACCCATTGGCTGGTGGTTCAAACTACTGGGATGATTTGGGTACAACCGAGCCCTCCAGTTCCGCCAAGACAACGTATTGGCCAACCTCTAGTTTGAATGAAGTAACAGATGAACAGGTGCCCCCTGATTGGTGGTTTGGATTGGTTTTGGATTTGAATTTGAACGGTTGGAGGATGAATGGGAAACCACCCCTTAACCACCAAACCACCAATTAGGGGTAAGGTTATTTGAGCCACCGCTCAGCTAAGGGCAGTAGAACACCAAATCGCACAGGGCTTCACAGACACTGAATCGCTTCGGATTGACTGGGAGGTCCCCTGGATTGCCAAGCCCTGGACCGCAGGGATAGACCAACCCAGACATATTTTATATCCCTGGTGGGTCCATTCCCTGGGTCCACGCCATACGCCAGGAAGCATCGTTGGTGTCTGGCCTGGCTGCATTTGAACAACACGCCGGGGCCCCGAAGCCAAAGGTCGCTTTGCTCAACGACCGGTTCCTTGGGCCCAGGGATGACATGCCCTACGGAATTCAGACCTGGATTCCCATGAATTCACCCGGGATGGACACTTGGGCTCGATTCTTTGCCACCGCCTTCAGGAGAATTGCTGTTTTTAGGGTTGGAGTCTGTGGACTCGTGTGTGCTCCGGACCGCGTTCCTTTTTTCTCAACGGAAGCGACCACCCTCGCGAGTTTTCGCGCGAAACGGCGCGTGAGGAGTGGCTGGGCCTCAAATTTGCCAGGGCCTCAGTGGGAAGGATTCCCACCGCCTGCGCCGTGCGTTCTACGTATCAGATTTCGGAACCCATTTGTTGGCCCACCCAATGGGTCCAAGAAGGAGCTCCCCTGCAAAAAGCCACAGAGCTTGGCTGGTGAGCTGGCGAACTTTGAGTAGTGCTCAACCCCCTTTTCGTTTCCGTAAAGGGCAGGGCTGGTTGTCTAGATCCCTCGATTTCCTTCTGGGGTTCAACCCCATGAAAAGAATGGTTGACCCAATTTTGGATGGTGAAAATCCTTAGGTAAAAACATGGCGGCTATATTACCCCCCACTGTTTTAATGGTGCTTTGAAATGCCAGGGTTTCCGCAGGTCAACCAGTGAACCTACGTTTCTGAGCGAGGCCCAGCGGGTGGACCGACCGGGTGCAGACGACCAACTTCTGCTTCTGTCGGCTCTTCGGTCCGGACGGCGCGAGATGGGCAGGGAAGGAAGGGGGAACGAAGGGGGGAAGCGGGGAGGGGGTGTGAACCTGGGAGTGTTGAGCATCCTGTAGCATCACTGCAACCACCACGCTGAAACACCCAGAGTCTTGTCAACACGGCCAGTCCACGAGGGCTGGGATGCCGGCAAAGGGATGCTCAAGGTGCCGGTGCTGGGGGTGCTACTGATGCTAGGAATGCTAGGGTTGTTAGCAATGCTAGCAATGCTGACAATGCCAGTGATGATCATGATGTTAGTGATGCCGAGGAAATATACTGAGATGCGTGGTGGATGGCTGCTAGGGGTGCTAGGCACGCTTGGTGTGATGCTAGGGACCTGCTAGAGATGCTGGGAGTGCTAGGAACGCTAGGAATGCTAGGGATGCGCGGGCTGCTGATGCTAGGGATTAGGGGTCCTGGAAATGCTGGGGATGCTCTCCCCCTTTACTCTGCCCTTTCTGCACTCTTCAAAGCCCCTTTTGTACTGAAGAGCCGGCCAGGGCAATCCCACGGCACCTACGACAACGAATTCCTGCATGAGCTCTTCGACAGCTGCCGGGATGCTGAGGCTAAAAACAGGGTGCTTTCGGTCTGCAGTCAAAGGATGTTTAAGCAAAAACTGTTTAAACATGTTCAAGCATATTGGGAGGTTGCAGGATTCCACTCCAGAGTGTCGACTAAGCTGGGTCAAAACTGGGCCCGTCCGAATGCTTGATTCGTTGCGCTTGAGTATCAAAATTAATGGCCACAAACAATGGGGTCAGCCAAGAGACTGTTCGGGCCATCTTCGCGACAAAGGGGTCCATCATGTGGAGCACACTGTCAACTGTTGAGTGCCGACCTTGACAAAATAGTGCACACCGTTGCATACTTTTCAATAACAAGAACATTTGCGGTGATCACTCTATCATGCAATCATTCTTACCCAGGAAAAAGGAGGGCTGTCATCATTCTGGCAAACTCTGCACACGGACCCGCCTTGGGGTTGGCAGTGGTGGTCATAGGCCCTTTATCAGGGATGTTCTACCGTTGAACGGTTCCTACGATGGGACCGGGCTGACCCTGAGGATGTTTCGCCCAGATTAGGAGTTCGTTTCGAAGGTTTTAAGCAGCCATTGTAATGCATCCTGAGGGAACCAGGAAATGACCCACAGATTTTTGGAGTCTTGACATAAGGGACTACTGCCCTTGTTGGGTCCCTTCAAGTGGCAGGTGGTTGACCATTTCGAGGGACTTCTCAAACATATGGGTCCCGGCGATTTATGTTTGCTTCAAGTCGGCAAAGAGGGGGTTCTCAAACGGACTTTTGGCTGCTTCCCTTTGAACTGCGAGGGTCTTGAGACTTCGGGCGGGTTTTCAGGCCCGATGGGCACCACGAGTTATGTGCTCTTCGGCAACAAGGCAACGGGTGGCCGGGAAGCAAAAGCAAAAGATCGGCGGGTGTATTTCCTACAGAATTTGCAGATGGCTGGTTGGTGGGTGGGCAGGCTGGCTGGCTTGGAATATCGCAATTTTTTGGGAGAAGTGGATCGAACCCTTCCTTGCAGCCGCCCTCGCAGTTGACTTCCGGGCTGATGAAAAAGGGACTAGGCCCGCCTTAGCTTTCGCCTGAAAGGGGTCATGTTGACCCTCATGTGCGTGTCCTTTGGGAATTTTGGGGTTGGTTTAGAGGGGGGGAGACGACTATTTGAGGGGTCACTGGGCCCGAGATTCTGACCCACTAAGCTGTGCGAGTGCAGTGTATGGTTCTTTGACTCCGAGCCATGGGTGCCAAGCAGACACTTTCTCATCCGCAAAAGCAGCCACAAGAACATGGAGATGTCCGGAAGGAGTTCCCGGGATTGACGGCATTCCTCTCCTTGCCATCAGCAGCGGTATTCTTCCTCCATCGGCTACAGCCGGCAAGCATTGTGCAGACTTCAGGGCGAGGCGAGCAGCAAACACATAGGTGTCCTTCAGAGGTTGGTTTGGTTGGTGTTTATTCCATCTACCAGCATCCATTTGTTCAAAAGGTCGCCTACGAGCATAGCTGAGCAACCCTCCCCGCTGCGTGCTCAAGCTCGGGGCTTCGGCAGATGGCAAGCATCCTTTGCCTCACAACCTGAATTCCACACTTTTCGAGAAGACGATTTGGGTGGCAAGCCAGAAGTTCCTGCTTGTTCGGGTTATGCCGAGCGCAGCAAGTTTTCGCAGACCAGTTCGTATCACTGCTTTGGAAGTCTCAGGCGCAATGCGATAATTTTAGCTTATTGTGTTGTTGTCTGGCACTAGTTCCCAAGTTTATGACTCACGCGTGGTAATTCCTGGATTCTCCCAGTCGAATTCCTGATCAACTCTTCCTGATGCATGTCCTTGGCTGCCATTTGGTTGGGGATGTTTAGCTTTTAACTGTTTGGGAACATGCGTATGTGCCCTTTCAAATTACAAACTGCACGTCGCACTTTGCACGGCCACGCAGTGGAGAGTCGTGCCATTGGCCCGGTGGATGGATCGCCTCCGGCTGCCTTCGGAGTCCGACATGGCTCTGGCGATTGGCTGATTGAGGACTCGAACGAGCTCTTCCACTTGTGGGGGGGGGGGCACGCATGGAAACGAAGACTCCACCTTTTGCTTCTGCCTTTCAACCAGACAGTTCGCTTTTGATTTGATTTTCAGGCGCTTCAACTAGTTCAAGCGGAAGAGGCTCAGTAGGGAATCATTGAGAATGAACCTAGGGATCTCCTTATCCGCAACAAGGGATGGTTTGAAGGTCATTCCAACTCATTCCCCGAGAAGCAAGACCTCAAAGGTGTCTTCGGCTCGACAGGAGATGGGAAGGTACCGGAAAGAGCTGGGGCCCTTCGAGAAGGACGAAGCCAATCCTTTGGGACTCGGTTCTCGGCGTGTCCAGCTCCCGAAAGGAGAGCCATGCGTCTTTCCAGGTCATTTTGGCAACGGGAAGCTTTTTGGTCAGCTCTGCATTTCCATGTTTGAGAGAACCATTTTAACGGGGTAAGTGGGGAATTTCTCGTGTTCGACGAGCCCCGTCAGGTGAAAAGGACATGCGCCTCACGCTTCATCATGCTTCACCGTTCTCTGTTCTGGGCGTTTGTGTTTTTCGTTTTGGGATTGTTCATTTTTATTGGCCTGCAAAAAAGGCACCTGTTGTTCTAGCCGACGAGTTTGCAAGATTTGCAAGCTTGTGATGCGACAGCATCGAGCTCGATTTTGGGCGTCAGTTTGGTGGCTCCGGCAAGGGTTCCGACTCCGTGACTTAGCTCCAAGTGAATTGTTTTCTTTGGTTTCTTTTCCCCGCCAAATTTATACCGTGTCCGCATAATTCAGGGAGGGGTTAGGACCACCCCCCCCCCCCGCCCACTATATTGCGAACACTCCACTTGCCAAAACCGTGCAACTCGCCTGTGGCTTTACTTTGTTGTTCGTGCTAAGCCTCGCAATTGTTTTGTCAAATCCTGCAATCAGTGAGTGGACAAGTGCCCGAGCTCCGTGGCGTAAGTGTGTGTGTGTGTGTGTGTGTGTGAGTGCGTGTTTTGCTTGGGGAGCAAACTCCTTTTGTTGTTTTCTCTAAGGAGAGTTTATGACATATGAAGTTCAGTTTGTCGGGAAATTTAATGAACAACACCTTTTAGGTCTTCGGTTGCTTATTGGAAACACCTGTTCCCCCCCTCCCTCCCCCCCTCCCTCCCCCCCCTCCCGGAAGCCTGAAGGACCCTGCGGGCCCTTACCTGGATGCCGCCAGGCAGCGGCGCAAGGCGCAGAAGGTGCCGCCTGGTTGGCTGGTTCTCCAGGGAGACACCGAGACACCCCCCAAATTTCGAGACGGTCTGCCGGTTCCCTATATTTCCCTTTGGTGGTTTTAAACATCAGCTTTTTGGCCCATGAAGGGTGAGTATCCCTTGGTGGGGGTGATTTTTTTAGGGGGAATATCGGGAGCCCTGTCTGAAGGGCAGGCTTAGATGTTTGAGTGGATCTCACGAAAGCAAAGCTCATGCTCGAATTTGGGAGGCCGTCGTTCTTTTCCAAACAATATAGACGTTTCCCTTGGGTTCTTAAGGCGGAGTTTTGGGGAAAGACCTGGGGTCGGAACCTTTCCTGTGGGGCTGGAGAGGCCTTCGCATTTCTCTCAAAGGAAGCGACTTCTAAGCCCACTACTTGGGATGCAAGGTGGTGTGGCTTTGGGAGTCAAGGCTTAGAACCGGGGCCGGCGGACCCCGGATGGGTACATTGCCAACCATCTCAGGGCCAACAGACTCCAGGTGGCTCCCTCTTGGCTGGGGCTGGAATTGGAGCAGGAGAAGCGTCTCTTCTGCTCCCTGAACTGGAGCAATGTGGCTCCAATCTTCTCCCCTCACGGTTTCAAGGGGGAAAGGACACCATTTGGTGCCCCTTTGCGCACCCCATTTCCAGGGCGGAAAGACTTTTAGATCCAACAGCCTGCGCATGTCTGCGCAGGGTCTCTCTCGACGTGCCTCTTTGCTGATTCAAAGCCTTTGGCAATGCGAGCGAGGTCATGACCCGGAAAATGGCCCTTGCTTGGTTCTAATTAGTCATTTCTGAGCCGGGCTTGCGAGTGGCCCGGGCTCAATGACCTTGGGCAATAGAAGGTTGCACCAAATCCACGCAGTCTTTGACCTCTTCCGTGCCCTTACGAAACACTAGCGAAAAGAAGACCCGTGCAAAGGAGGCGCTAGGTCGCTCAGGGGCCGATTTTACATGTTCTGGTTCTTGGCGCTGGGATGACTTAGCACCTCGTGTGCGGCTTGGGGGGGGGGGTTGGGGTGTTTGCACGGTTTGGCATTTTGGATTCCCCGCCCATGGGCGACCATGAGACCAAGCCAGTTGGTTCAGGAGCAGAGCGCTGCCACGGAAGCCGACTGGCCGATGCTGGCCGCTTGGTCGTTGCTCCCTTTGACTTCCAACGCAAGCCACATCAAATGGATGGACCAGTCTTTCATTGTGCCAGGAAGGGATTACTTCCCAATTTTCGTTCTGACGGTCCGAGTCGTTTCAGAAGCTTTTGGAATGCTCAACTGAAAGGCTCGAGTCTGATGTTGACTCAGTAGGGTCATGTTTATCAGGAGTCTTTGTATGGGGTTTTGGGAAGCTTGGGATAGTTCTTGGGCTAGTGCCTCGGTGTGAGCATCACCCCGATGCTGAAAGGTTGAAACGTCGCCGGGGTCGGCCAGCTTTTTGTCAACCAGCACCTCCCCATGGGAGAACACCACTGATGACCTAGGCCTATAGGGCTAGTACTAATTAAATAGGGGGCGATTGCACTTTGGGGATCCTTCACTTTTGGGGGCACAGCTTACTACTTTGTCAGGTTATATCCGCTGTCAACCAGCCGGATTGAATGTGGCAACTGACATTTAAGCTATAGACGAAAAGGCGGGCCCTGATTCCCTTAGCTTTGACAACCCACCTGTAAGGTGACCCTTGAAATATCAGGTAATGGGGACAGCAAGTGATGCTCGAACACGGACCAGGTGGGCTTCATTTGGCTTCCGCTTATGCGGACTTCCGGCTTTCTTCTTGACCACAGCAAGCAAGTCTCATGCCAATTCGGGTGGGGGGGGGGGGTTGGGTCTCCGTGTTTGGATCAACCAATATCACCTTTGGGTGGCTCCGGGGATGGGCCCGCGAGGTCGCTTGACTCAACGAGCCAAGGACCTCTCCTCCGGTTTTGATCAAGAGGCGGGCTGGAGAAGGACGTTGGGAAACGAAGCTCGGGAAGCACGCCTGAGGCGAACTTCAGCTGTTGAAGTTCGGTTTCTTCATTTTGGTCGGCCAAAAAGTAACAAATCACCATGCAATGCGTCCAACCCGATGAATTTTCCGCCGGCCTCTGGTTTTCGCGGGAAAAGGGGTCGGACATCCCTTTTTGAGCTTGGTTGAATTGGACTCAGGTCAAAGGGATAGGCCAAAAAACCAACAGTTTTCGGATCAACCTAACACAGTGAAGCATTTCGCCCGGCGAGTTTCGGGGGGAGGGGGGGTGGTTGGGGGGCTGCCGAAGATAATTTGCTGTGGACATACCAAGGATTGAAGACAAAACGGGCGGGGGGCTGCTGCCATCAGGTGCTTTGTTGCTTACAGCCAAACCAGCCAGGCGAGTCCCCTTCCACGTTCCCTTCAACCCAAGAACCTGGCAGAACAAGTTGGACACCCCGCAATGTACAGCACTTGACTGCAGTCCTAGGGTCTGGTTGGAACTACAACAACGCGTACCCCCCCGTTTTCCACCGGGCGGGGAACCCGAAACCGGGGATCCCCTCCGCCGGATCCGCGGTTTCGAGGCGCTGGAGCTGCGGCTGAGAGGTTTGGGCTGCGATGATCGGCTGGCGCTCAAGGGCCTCGACAAGGACGCGGCGGTGGTTTCGGTTGAGACGACCTCGCCAGCG